GCATTTCCATTGAATTGTCCGTTGGCAGTTCCATTATTGGCATTTCCAATGAGTACTCCGTTAGCATCTCCATTGTTGGCATTTCCATTGAATTGTCCGTTGGCAGTACCATTGTTGGCATTTCCAATGATTTGACCATTGGCAGTTCCATTATTAGAATTTCCATTGAATTGTCCGTTAGCATCTCCATTGTTGGTATTTCCAATGATTTGACCGTTGGCGGTTCCATTGTTGGCATTTCCATTGAATTGTCCGTTGGCAGTTCCATTATTGGCATTTCCAATGAGTACTCCGTTAGCATCTCCATTGTTAGCATTTCCGTTGAATTGTCCGTTGGCAGTTCCATTGTTGCCATTTCCAATTAATTGACCATTGGCAGTTCCATTATTGGCATTTCCATTTGATACACCATTTAAATCACCGGTATTTGCATTGCCGACCAATACACCGTTCTTATTGCCGATGTTCTGATTGCCATTCAGATTACCATTGCCAGTTCCGTTATTAGAATTACCATTGAGCGCACCGTTACCATTTCCAACATTAGTATTGCCATTAGCGTTGCCATTGGCCGTTCCATTGTTGAGATTGCCGTTAAATTGCCCATTGGCGGTTCCATTGTTGGCATTTCCATTTAGATTTCCATTTAATGAACCAATATTTTTATTTCCATTTCCGATGCCGTTCAAATTACCAACGTTGAGGTTTCCATTAGAGTTACCATTTTTGTCTCCGGTGTTATTATTTCCGTTGGCATTTCCATTTAAATTACCAAGGTTATTGTTTCCATTGAGATTACCATTAAATGAACCAAAATTGAAGTTTCCGTTGTAATTTCCATTACCGCTTCCCACATTGCCATTACCATTTCCATTGCCATTACTGTCTCCGCGTTTTTCAAGTGCTGGTGCAGCATTGGTGGATGATAATGCTAAACCAAGGAGGGTAACTGAGGCTAAGGCAGTCAAATAAGCGATTTTTCTGGCCATTTTTATATTATATTATCTAAATGAGGGTTTTTATATAAAATCTAGTTGAATTATGAGAGAGAATGTGGATGATGAAGGTTGATGATTTCTATAGGGATGATGAAGTGATTAGGAAGCGAGAGTAAGATGATAGTCTAGAAGGAGTTTTAAGAGAAGGAAAAGGGAAAATCACCTCAACAGTGAAAGGATATGTAAAAAGGGCAATATGTGTATGAGAGGAGGAAGAAGATCGACGGTGATAAATGGCTATCAACGACGTCTTTTATACATTTCTATCGAGCACGTTGGCGAGTTTGTTACATAAACACAGCAAATTAATTACATGTATGTGGAAAAAACTCCGACTGCGAAAAGTTACACATAGCCAACGAAAATATAATTTTCCAAAAATGATAGATTTTTAATTATTGACTGCTGCGTAATACGAGAAACAAACATTGCTGCATTGATCAGATTTGCACCAATCCATATGCACAACGAAATTAACTGCATCATAGAAATTTATCTCAAACATAGAGAATTTCATGCACACGCTATATTTATTTAATATTTATTTGCATCGCTATAGAGAACATCTAATTAAACTATCAATTACGCCACTGGATAGCATGAAATTAGATTCATTGAAAAATAGCCTTGCTGTGCTATTCAATTAATTTAGTGATATTAATCATTTTAGTATTTACTCAATTGAATGTTCCATCTTAAAATAAAGCTGCAACCACAAATTGTTTTGTGATACATGTGTCTTAAAATAGACTGTCGTTGTGATCATTTTACTGAGTGGTGGAAAGATGTTAATTAGCAACTTAAATATTTTCATTATCGTTATTTGATAACATTTGTTGGCTAATTTTAAAAGAATAATGAATGATTTTATTTCCGCTTAAAGTATGTTGTATGGAGAATATGGAATGGCCCAAAATAGGATACAACTAGAGTTAAGGGATAGTGCTGGGAATAAGATAGTGTTAGCCAGAAAATTTTAGATCCACTTGCAATATATGCGTACAGGATCACAAAAAATAATATCGAAGAAACAAAGTACATTTTAGAATTCTAGAGCATTATACTGATGTATGGCAAAACTATTAAAAAATTTATCGTTATAGTCACACAATGTGTACAAGTAGTATGCGTCAAAAATTTCTGATCAGAACCAAATTTCAATTTCCTAATTCGGATTCTGAATTTTCATTACGTCCGATTAGAGTGGGATAAGGGTAATGGCAAATTTATACGCAAAATTGCCTTTCCAACGTTTTTAATTAATAGTCTAAGATAGATTTATGCATCAGTCTCATAATATCCCTTTGAGTCGGATTTGTTTTGCCGGGTCGATAAAAAATTTGTGCATTCTTATTGGTTATTGATTAGGAAATTTGAATTTTGGCTCTTAATATAGATTAGACTTGTGCGTATCTCGGTTTATTTGTTCAAAGTCGTTAAACTAAATTTTTGACCTACTTAATTATTTAGTCGACTTCGCCATTGTGAATCACATAGCGATAGTTACAACATCCGGCTGAAATTTGATGTGACAATATACATCACCATAAAAACCAATCGTTTGTTATGTGAAATGTGCTGTGGTCGTCATAAAGATCCGGATCAAAATTCCAGATCTTTATGACGACCACTGAATAAAGATAATCCCTCATTTTCAAGCATAAAAAAGTATTTTATTTTCAGAGATATATGGTAATAGAGGTTGTTCGATTACATCCGTCTTAAAAGATCAAAGCAAAAAATTAAAACCACAATTTAAAAAGAACCACGGGAATACTCTCGCTAATGCAATAAAATTTTTGAAACAGTACAGAAAATAAATATATTATAAAATAACACTATGATAGGTCCAATATCTTTAGATGAATAAAATTTCGTATGAGCTTGCAGGTCAAAGTGATTAGTCATGTGAAGCAACCGATTTTCTTATTACATTTATATCCTGATAATACAATACTCCATCCATGCCACTTGCTTGAACATTACAGCTTAATCCATTAAATTTGCTTACTTTCAAATAAGAGATAGATTTATGCCTTACGATTCATTAATTGTGATAGTTATTAATAAAATCCTTTAATATAGAGCAATACTTATAGTATCCTCCTTATAGTTCTTTCCCGAATAAAGTACGCCATCCTTCACCAGTGAAATCACTGAAACAGTGGGGATAGCACCAGTATTATTCAATGTCAAAAATTTGTGAATAATACCGTGAGTGCCATAAGAAATGCTCTAATCGTATACCGGATATTCATTTGAATACGAATTGAATTGTAAGGCTTATGCTCTATCTAAAGGTGAAATTCTGACATGGCTGCTACTTATAGCAATATGAAAATTTTTCAGATGAATAAACAAAAGTCTTTTCCGCACTTTCACGTTAATAAAAGAATAAAAGTTACGAATATGCTACGTTAACCACTTCGTCCTTCTCTGTTCATCCAAGTCGTTTCCCAGGAAACTAGATCTAAACTTGCATCTTTATACTCAAAGATTTACACGTGACTATAACGTGCACAAAACTAGTAAAGTTTATTAAAATGAACCTCCCAGAACAAGCTTTGGATTTAGCTTGTTAACTAACATATTTGGTTGATGAAATGCATGGTAACTTTGGAAAAGTTTTTTGTTCATGAAACTGCCCAGTTTATTTTAGAAATCTTAGATCTAAACATTCTGCCGATGACAATTATAATTAATCATACATATCAATCAAAACTTTCTGAAATAATTAGCAAATCTAAGATATAAAGCAAAAAAACTTAGACAAACTATTATAAATGAATTTTACTTGATAATAAATTACTTTGTACATCACAAAAGATAGATTTTCAAAAACTTATATAAAAAATTAATTCAAAATTTTGTTCATCTTCAAATCAAGTTATATAAAATAAAATAAAATTATATATATATATATATAATTTAATCAATCTTATTGAAAAATTATTATAACTTGTAAAATAATAACTATTACTATAGATTTAAGAATATATTAATGTTACCTATCATTAAATTATATCAAATTAAGAGATTTAAAACAGCTTGCTTTACTAAAATATTTTATATATCTATATATCACTAAACTAATTCAAAGATTTTTAGAAATAATATATATAAAATTTGAATTAAAAGAAAAGATTATTTGTATTATAATAAATAATGAAATAAATATAGTAAAAATAATCAAAATATAAAATATTATTTATTTGTCATGTTTTACACATATTTTATAATTTTATATCAATTAAGATCTCAAAGCAATTTGTCTAATTATGAAAAAAATAAAGTAATTAATATATTATTTTTCATTTTTAAAATAAAATAAATAATTAGATCAAAGTATAATTAGTAGTCATAATATGTGATAGTTTATCTGCATCTGCTTTTTTATTTTTAAAAAAGCTTGAAAAAGAACTAAAAGAAGTAGATAATAATAATAAAGTAAATAATAATAATAATATAGATTTTAATATCTTTTAATTCAATTAAAGTTCAATATTTATATATATTCTGTATTTTATTAAAAAATTACAAAATTTATTAGAACTTTAAATATCATTCTTGAAAATAATTTTTAAAATTGAAAAATATAATTATTTAATTAGAAACTAATCTTGTAATATCAAAAAATTCTGGTAATTATTATAATAGAAATAATAATTGCTCAATAATCAAGAGTGAAAATTAATGCAAAAATTAATTGATTTATTTAAACTATTTAACTTTATTACTAAATATTTTATAATTTAATTTCTCTTATTTATTCTATAATAAAATTATTAAAATTTAACTTTGCTAATTATATAAAAACTTTATCATTTGAAAATTTAATTGACAAAATTTTAAAAATTATAATTATAATTTATATATTTTAAATATTTAGAATTTAAATTTTATATTAATATTAATACTTTTAAATAGCTAAATTTATATATTAAAATTTAAAGTGAAAATAAAGAATTAAATTATAATATTAATATTATAATCTTTAATTTAAATTAATTGTAATCTTGAATAAACTTTAAATTAATTATTAATAAAGTTAAGTATATTATTTATAATTTACTTTTTAAATATTATAAAAATTTTATATATATTAGATTTTTTGCTATTCTTTTAGATCTTTAACTAAAAAGAATATATTCTTAATTAGAATATATTCAAGAAAAAATAATTTAAATATATTAAACATATTAATTATAATTATTTAATTTTTCAATATAATATAATAATATATAATTAAAAAATTATTATTTAAATAGTATTTTTAATAATAATAAGAAAAATTATAATATAAATAAACTAAATTAATATTTAAAAAATACAAATTACTATATATAATATTAATCTTTTAATTAATAGAAAGATTATAAAAGAGAGTTTTTATTTTTAAGTCAATTAATATATATGTATTTATCAATATTTGCTATCTTTATTTTTAGTAAGTATTTATTTTTTAATACAAATAATATTATATTAGTAAAAAGAATATATTTAGCTTCTTTTCTTATTTTTCAAATATTATTTTAAAAAAAAATAGTAACTTTATTAAAATAACTTTATAAATTAATCTTAATTAAAATAGATAAATTAATTAAAATATCAAAAAAAGTAAAAATTATTTTAATTTAAATTTAATTATTGAATTTAAAGTATAATATCAAGCTTAATAAATAGATTTTATATTTAATTATTTATAAATATAATTACAAAGCTTTTTTAATAATATTAGTAAAGTATTAATTTACAAATATTATATAAAAACTAAATATATCTTTAATATGATATTCATTATTACTTTATATATTATTATATATTAAGTATTTAAATTTATAAATATAATATATATAAATAATAATAATTATAATAGTATAATAGCAATATTAATAAAGTATAACAGATATTATCTGAATAAAAATCTTATATATTAAAAAATAATTATATAAAATTATATATAATAATTATATTTCAAATTTTAATATAAT